ATTCGATGTAATCGAACTTATCTGTGTTGTCAAGAATTGGCCGTCTGGATTCCTTTCGATCCAATATCATTCTCAATGTTGTCAATCAAAACAACGATGGGTTCTAGAAGCATACACCAAAATAAATGGGATCGAAGTCAGCAGAAGCGACTAATATCGCCGGAAGATAGTTACTCCATCGTTTGATCTACTTTGAAGCAAAGCATGGACTACCCAACACATAACTGTTTGTGTTTTACTTAATCCAATTCCAAATTTAGGTGAGTTGATCAATTTCAATCAATTTCATTCTTCCCCAATTTCTGGGTATATAACCTACACCAATTACTGGCTTCTTTACGGGTGGTTTAAATAACTTGTCCATGGTTTCCTGGAATACGTTATTCTAATTTAACTATAAACGGACATTCGTGTTGTTTTACACACATTTGCTACTTCACATACTTAGCATAAAGTAATTGTTTTCCAGATTGTGCTCTCACATAGGACAATGCTTATCAAGGAAATTGGAAATTACAGCTTCTTTATGCAGTGTTAACTTGAGTGACGGTAAACAATAATTCTTACGGGTAAGTATCCTCAAGAGTGTTTTTTATACACGATTCTCATTACTGGACTGTACCTTTCCTAAACTGTTGCATAATGATACATGAAAAGAGCAAGATTGTTTTTTTTGTAAGGTGTGAAGATTGGAAGAAGCTAATACTTCGACTCATGAAACTTTAGGATAATTTCATGAATATACTCTTCAAGGTAAGTTCGTGTAACAATCTTGCTCTTCAAATGGATAAGTATATGTCAGTTTATATCATCATGATAGTCTAATGTAGTAGTTGACTGGATTACAAATATAATTAAGAGTATTGCAATGAATTTTATTGATGATGAGTTTCATGCCTATTTAGGACAATAATGAGACAGTGATTGTAGCATTTTTTGGAAAAGGTAGATGAAATACAATAAATAGCAAGGTTGAGAGAAATCTCATTCTTCCAATAAACCTCTAGCGAAACATGCTTCTTTGTATGAATCATATAAGACACCATTATAGGTCCTTAAATCTTCTATCACTTCTTGCTCCCCTCAGGTACCTAAATAGAAGTTTCAAACTGACAGCACAATCAATACTACCTGAAACATTAGTAGTTCTGCGATTCCGAAAAGTCCTTAGCATGTTTTCGAATCTCTTGGTTTTCTGATTTCAAGTATAAAACTGGGGAACCTCCTCAAAAGTGAGTTGTCTTGCTTCTGAACAATTTGTATTCTGACTTGAACTTTCCAAGACGTCTTGAAGGGCTTCACATCTCTAAGGAAGGCGTAGGAGGCAGCCATCTCTTTGATTATGCGGTAAGCAATCGAAATTGTGTTGGTGGAATGTGTGGTGAATAAAACTGTGGTATGAAAGATTGATATTTATATGAACACAACTAAGGTCGAGGGTTTTAGAACAGAAGATATTA